ACTAACCCACAGCTTGGGGTTACCTAATTTAACCAGGGCTAACTTAAATTAAGCTTGAACCAACCTGAATTACTACCATCTCAACATATAATAGGTAAATAAACAAAGTTAAGTTTTGACTTCTCTTAAGAGGATAAAGCACACTTAACTTAAAAACACACTTCAAAATATATTTAACTCAAGAGATAAAGTGGACTAAATACAAAATTTGTAAAATACAACATAACTTAAAAAAATAATCTAATAAAACTCATCATGAAATACACAAAGACTTAAACCCAAACCCTAAAGTCAACCTTGGTTTGAGAAGGAGCTTTAGAGGAGGCAACTCATAACTGCTAACGAAGTACCTTCCAACCACTCGTGACTAATCAAATCATAAAACCTAATGACCCTGGAAGGAAGAAACCATGAGATCTTAAAACTGGGTCATTCCAACATCAAAATTAAAATAAAAACACAAAAATTTAATTGAACGAAACCTAAAAATCTCAGCCCCCTAAAATTTGAAAAAGACACTAAAACAAGCAAAACTTTAAATAACAAAGATTATCGAATGCAACTTTAACCCTGCTACCCAGATCTATTGGATGATATAACTCATGGTTGTTAACAAGGATCTTTTGGTCGGAATAGACTTGACCGTCTCTCTAGACTAAGTAGATTAGGGAACCCGAGAACCTTGGAACTACGAAAAACCATGCGCAGCTTGATTGGGTTGTCTTAAATAAAAAGAATAATAATTCACCCATTAAGGATCAAATATAAACACATTTATTTTTCTGAAGCATTCTAACTTTGTTTTGCAAGGTTGATAAAGTAAAAATACAAAATATTGCCTTAGATTTACTTTACATGTTAGCAGGGCATGCTAATTCTGTTTTGCAGGGCTATTATAAATAAATAAGCTGCTGTAGTAACTTAGGATCTTTTCTTTGAGTATTCTTTTCTTTTATAAAGTTAGGAAGTGTTATGATCAATTGACTATAAACATCTGAACTATTCAAAAGAAGACTAAATACATAGTGGATAATGAACCTCAACTAAACCATCAATGATAGTTTGGATGATGTCAGTTGACGAGTCTGACATAAGTTAAGGTTAGTACCTATACCGTCAGTTTGTCTGTTTTAACCAGATTGCTCTACTCAAATTATAGGTCGATATTCACACTTTGCTTTTTGCCCATATTATTGGTAGGCCATCCAAGGACTAAACCTTCTAACCTAATCTAAAAAACTTCATCTTAAGTTTTCAAATTAAAACTCATAACCAAAACTAAACTACATAAATCACTACATTCACAACCATAACAACATCATACATTTAAACAACCTTGATTGACACTAAATAAAATAGAGTAAGAACTCCTTTTCAATTTAGGAATATGAACGATAACATGATTTGTAGGCATATGCATAATATATTGCTCCTATTCCTTATCTTCGGGCCCTCGTTCATTTGCATGGAAAAGGGTGGCTTGGCCCAAGAGAACCACTACATTATAAAGTGGGTTTTGCATATGCATATCAATTGGCCTTTCAACAACCCTCTAAGCATTCACCATCAAGGACTTGCATTACCCATTACATAGCTTGGTTTGGTGCACTCACACTAATTAAAACTAAGCATTTGAGTGTGGTGAGGCATAAATCATTTAAATTTGAAATTTTAAAGTATGTTCACCTTTGTTTTAAGACATTATGCATACCATACATACCTAAGCAGCTTAATTTACAATCAAGTCGTAAAACCTATTACTTCTAATACATATTTAAGCAGCTTGAGTTATAGCAATTTTTTTATCAAGTTTTGATTAGTTTATTTCTCAAAAAATTTTATTAGTTTTTATTTTTCATAAAAAATCTACCATTTATGAAACTAAGTGGGTGGGAGAAAAGGCTAAGGAGATTGATAATTTAGGTTTTAAACTTTGGTATTCTGGTAAGAGTCGCAATAGAAATGGTGTAGGTGTAATTATAGATAAGAGTTTGAAAGATAATGTTGTAAAAATTAATAGAGTTGGTGATAGAATTATAGCCCTTAAGATTATCATTGATACTAAGATTTTTAATATTATAAGCGTTTATTCTCCTCAAGTAGGTTTAGATACAGGGTCTAAAGATAAATTTTGGAATGACTTAGAAGACTTAATACAAATGATACCTCTTGAAGAAAGAATTTTTATTGGAGGAGATTTAAATGGACATGTCGGTAGAGTGGTAGAAGATTTCAGAAATATTCATGGTGGCTACGGTTTTGGAGTAACTAATGAAGAAGGTAAAGTTATTTTAGATTTTGCTTTAGCGTTTGATTTTGTTATTACTAATACTTTATTCAAGAAAAGGGATGAACATCTTATTACTTATAAGAGTGGATCTAATAAAACACAAATTGATTATTTTCTTATGAGAAGAAGAGATCGTCG